AGTAGGTAGTATTTGGTCGTATAGGCGATACTAAACAATACTCTTTAGTTAGTAATAGTTAGTAGTAGGTACTCTAATTAGTATTTTAAGTACTCGCTCTATACTAACTTACCTACTATATATATATATATATATATATATATATATATAGAATAAGACCATTTACCTTTGGCACAAGGTGGTCACATTAATCTGAGAGCCTGCATGGAGATATTTGATGCCAGTCTTTAGCTAATGATTTAGTAGCCCCTTAGGCCCCTGCTTAGCTTTGGATATATCGGGTTAGATCAAGGATGCAAACCCTTGAAGTTTGCTCCGAAAAGCCTAAACAAGCTAACCGAAGCCCTAAGTCCCTTAGGCTTCAGCATAGTGGTGGACATATCAGTATTGGTAAGGGATATCAAGGGTTGAACCCCTAAAGTCCGTAGCAGAAATCCCAAACAAACAAACCTAGCCTCTTTTTTTTTTTTTTTGTCTTCTTCTCTTTTCAAGCTAATGACTTGGGGAAAACATCCAGCAAATGTGAAGATGTGGAAACTGGAGACATAACAAGGCACCATCACTTAAGAATGCACTTTTTAATGAGGAAGTCATAATCTAACTATACATGTTTAAAACCTTGAATGAATTACATGATGCATAACCAGAGACATTCTGCTAATTGTCATAGCATGAAGTTTTTAACATCTGCGCTGAGCTGAAAAACCAAGGTTTCATAAGGCAGCATAACAAGATTGTTGGTCGGGGTCGCTACCTTGCCTTGGCTCTAGAAAGAGCAGAATTTTTCTGCTTCCTACCGCAACAAAGAATAAGATAAATAACAAAAACTTGATGGCCTTTACGCAGAATGGCACTAACAAAGGGACCAATGTACACATCATGACTTGAGCCAGAGTATAGGCAACGAATGTAATCCTGAACTTAATTGTGCAGAACACATTTAACTGCTTTTCAGGGCGGATGAAAAGGTTAAGTATGCTATACTTCCAAAGATCTTGCAAAGTATGATAAGATTTGATAATAAAGGACAACCACCTTCTGAAGTTGGTCGAAAAACACTGAAACTCAAACTTAAAGCCAAACATGTGAAACTTCTCAGGGCATGTACAGCACACCTACTTCAAGTAAGATGCATCCCTTTCCTGCTAGTTATTACATGATACTGAAAAGGGTGAGTTTAAGATGCATCCCCAGATGCATACCACCCCGGGTTTTCATGTTTTGAGGACCAAAAAGCATTTCAAAGCCTTGCAAATCTATTTCCATGCATAAATAATAGATTTGGAGCTCTGAAAATGGCCCAGGTCTGAAGACTTTTTAAGAATTGAAATGGACGATCTAGAAAAAATTGTACAAGATGGACCATTTTAGGGCACCAAATAGATTTTACTTTTTTGAGATCCATGATTGTTGAGGTCCAAATGATGGATTTGGAGAGTTTGGGGTCCTCAATCCATGTCTAATATGCATTAAAATGCAGGGAGATATGAAACAATGCGAAGACTGGTTTCACACTAAGAGAGGGAGCACGATAACAAATCCAAGTGGTTATAGAGAGATCTACGGCAAAAAGCTTTAAAGGCTCAGGCATTAGCTCGACCTTCGCTTTCCCTTTGAAATAAGGGAAAAGAAAATGTATTAGAATGCAGGGAGCTATGAAACAAAGCTAAGAATGTTCCCAAATAGGGAGGGAGTACAATGAAAGGAAGCTCAAGTGCTTGAGTCTACGCAAAAAGATTTTCAACAGCTCAGGCATTGGATGAACCTCCAAAAGTTAATTAAAATATACCCTCAAAGAAGTCTTCTTTTCTGCTAGGATTTTACTTTATTTCAAACTTTACACAAAAGATATCAAAACTTTGAATTTTGTTTACTCAGACAAGCCAAGTCAACGCATCACTCCACAAAGTCCAGGGAGTAAATGCAATAGCCTCTAAATGACTCAACAAGTATTTAATTGGGAAAATCATAGATACCCGTTGATCCTACTCTCTAGGCATGCCCCTCCCCCCCCACACACACACATACAGAAAAACCAAAAGACAAAAATCAAAAAGTAATGTATTTTAAGACGAAAAGACCTCCCTTACAACACACATTTCTCTCACCCACTCTTGGTTTTTTTAAATGATGCTGGTCCGGCATCATTTTAAACCATGTGCCACTCAGGCAAATTTTAAACAAGGTGCCGGTCCAGCACACATTATGCCGGACTGGTTTTGCTTTAAAAAGTGAACCCGGTGCAGCACAGTGTGCACGGGACTGGCACATTGTTTAAAATAAAAGTGCCGGACCGGTTAGATTTTTGTCTTGAGAAAAATGCAAGTTGTATTGCGGGTATTTTCGTCCCAAAAGACCCTATCTTTTGACTTGGGGGTGACTGCAAAAATAATAATTTTGGGGTTATTGATGTGATTTATTTTTATTTTTTGTGTGGGGGGAGGAGGGAGGGGGGGGGGGGGGGGGGTTGGCATAGAGAGTAGGGTCCATGGGGGTATCTAAAATTTTCCCCATTTAAGTCAACAGAATTGTTTATTTTCTAAGTACCAAGTCAGCTTGGCAGAGTCCCAAGTCAACTTAGTGACTCACTAAACCATGCTAAATTCATAAGTGCACTCTCAAACTTGAGTGGAAAACAGCTTTCTTCGAAGTCACTACCTTAAATGTCATTTAGAGATAAATGACAGTTAGATATCAGCTACATAAGCCCGGACTAATTTTGCATTTCTCTTGACATATGAAGTAATTAAGAATGTCAAAAAATCAAATATGCTTGATCATTATTGTCTGAATACTTGAACTGAAATCACTACATATGTGCACATCCCTCCAAAATGATACTGCAAACTGTGATATTGTGATACATATATGTTCAGAAAGACTTATATGACTCATTTATTTCAAGTGCATTTTATTTCAGGGAAAAAATTTAGTAGGACAACCCCAGATATTGAATTAACTATTTGTACCTGTGACCACAATGAAACCAGCTGCATGATCCCATATTTTCTCACGGTAGCCACGATGAGCGATACGCAAATAAAAGGCTCCATCACCTCTGGATAATGCTCCATATTTTGCCTGGCTATCTATTCTAACCGGTGGTGCCTGAACACCTAGTTTCTGTTGAACAACCATCATTATGACCTATGATAGAACCAAGATACACCAAGAACGAGGGAAACCTTACAAGTGTTACCTGAGCTATGTTCTTTGACAAGTCATGCATGGAATGTGCAGCCTCAAATGACTCAAAGAAAGATGCTTCTGCAGGATTCTCAGTAGCACTTACATGTACCTAGTGCAGACAGTAAGGTTACATTCAGGCATCTTTTTTTAAAAAAAAAAATCTGAACATTCAGGTATCTAAATTAGAATATCAAATCAATATTTATTTAAAATATGATCTCCATCCACAAACCTTTTGAGTTTGAGAACCATCCAAGGACTCCATATGTGTGCCAGCACCAATTCTAGCAGAGAAAAGGCAACCTCTTGCAGAATCCACAGCAAGCTTATCAACGGTATTGATTGGCACCAACGGGAGATTGGGACAACCAAGGACACCCACTACAACTCTTCCTTCATCTAGCAGTGCCAATGCTATTGCATATTGATCTCCCCTAAGAAACCTGTAAATTTGTCCATTTCTAAATTATGAGATAAAGGAAACAGTTCCATTGGGATTATAATGCATAAAAAGAGAATATGATCTCCTACAATACCACAATTAGTTCCTTAAGGACAAAAAGAAGAAAAAACAGAAAAAAGAAAAGAAAATAAGTGAAATCCAAAGGGGAAATGGTGCACCTTTATGGGTCTTAATAATCTAAAGTTCCCCCACAAAAGAATAACAGAAAAGAGAAAGATAGGAATGTTAGAGGCAGGGGGAACAGAAGCGTTCATTATTATTCATGATTATTTACATTGAATTAATGGATGTCCTTACCACCCAACTAATAAGTTAAGTAGGTGAGGAACTCAACTGCAATAAAAAAGTCATCTGCGAATTAAGAAAAGGATTTGAAGGAGATTATATTCACTCAGTTTAGGAGCATGAGACCATCATAACTGAAGTATGGATCAATAGAGAGGAAAGGGGGACGGGGGCAAGAGGGAAGTATAGTTTCCCTCATATGCAAAAGTGATAGTCGAAACTTACCCTTTTGTACCATCAATAGGATCCAATACCCAATGTCGCCCATAAGGCCCCCCTTCTGATTTGCCTCTATCAATTGCAGCAAGCACATCTTCTGCTGTCAATGGGGGAATGACGTAGCTGCCATCCAAAGCTATAGTTTCATTAACAAGCTTTGTTATTCGCTCAAGTGTTTCTCGAGCACTGTCCTTACGTAGGTCCCCGGAATCCTAGAAAAGGAGCAACAGTTCAGCCTAATAAAAATTAATTCCTATCCTTCCTGATATTGCTAAATTTCCTTGAAATTTTTATGGGTATTCATGAATGATAACCTCCTCAGCAACCAATGAAAAGGATTCTGAAGGAAGCTCCCTCTCCAATACAAAGCTAACTAAAGCCTGTGAACCTGAAAAGATGGAGATAAAAATTATCTAGCATCAGAGGGGAATTCTATAGCAAGGAGCATCTCTCAGGGAATTTCCAAATCCGCAGATTAAATCCCCATATCTGAATAAGATTTCAAATTGCATCAAAACTGCCAATTCATGTAATTATCATAAAATAGTAAAGTTCTCACTTGCCATCTCTTACAGTGAGTGGAACATGGTAGAATAACAACTTTGAGAAACCACAGAATAAAAGGGCAAAAAACAGAGATCTTAATAACTTAAACAACTACATGTTAATAAACCTAAGAGATGTCGTAATAAGACTATCACACAGAATCAATTAGGGGAAGACAATAACATAGCAGACAGACAACTTAAAAGTGAGGTTTACAGAAACATATATAATGTTTCTTATGAAATTGTCCAGTGAGTATCCTCGAAGAATAGGTTTCCCAAAGCAGGAGAGCCATGAACTTCGTATACTACTAACTAAAAATTATAGATCAAAACCCTCTCAGTCTGGGGCAATCATTAAGCCAGATAAGCTTAAGAACCTAGAACTGAATATCTCAATCTCAGCCTTCTAACCAATGTTGTCAGATTCGCTTCGAAGTCTTCTTCAGTTAGTAAGAAAAATGAAGCAATTCGGTGCTTCGGTCGATTCAGGGGAAGACTTCGGACTTTTTTTTTAATTTAATAGAAATAAATCAGATATTTATAGATAATATATAAAAATAATGGAAAAAATTAAAAATAAAAAAATTCAAATTTTAAAAAATTAAAAAAAGTATTTTTAAAAGAACTTTTATATAGGTATTTCTTTTCTGACCGAAGCAGCCCGAAGCTTCGGCCGAAGCAGACCCGAAGCAAACCGAAGCAGGCCAAAGCAGCCTGAAGCGGTCCGAATCTAACAGAAACGGCAACACCACACTTCTCTTCGCTTCAGTTTATGTTTAAAATCTGAAGGCTTCGGCTTCTTCAGCCGAAGCGAAGCGAATTTGATAACATTGCGCTTCCAACAACCAAGGAAGTATTCAAACCATCAATTTTCCTGAGATCATACGAATTTCCTCTAAAGAGCCTTGTATTATTAAAATAAAAAGTTTGAAACTGCAGCAACAACCTCACTTTGCCAGCTGGTTGGACCCAAAAAACAATATCATACTAATCCGATACCTACTCCCAAAAACCCAATAAACCTATGTCAATGAAGACAAGACAGGCCCAATCAGATTGCAATTACACCTCCTGCCATCAGATGACACCCAAATTCCACTCCGGTCCATGAAAACCATTTATCCCAATTTCTTCTCAATCCTTCTTCTACCTACTCAGTCTCGAAAATAGCATGCCAGTTAACCATTCCACACAAGGGAGTCATGCTCAAACTTAATTTTATAGCCACAATAACCAAATGAAAGAATCAGCCACATAGATTTGCAATCACCGCGACCGCCAGTCCGACACCTAGTCTAGAATCGTTGGAATCTCTTTTTTCAACACGAAGATGTCCTAATGTACCCTAGACTATATCTTGCTGTTGTAAGATATAGTCGTGCCTAATACTTATGTATATGTTATAGCCTAATACTTATGTATATGTTATAGGACTTTTGGTCTTATGTTGTATTGTTAGGACCAGTGCTCAAAAAGTCAGTCTCATCCGAGTTACCCCAGCCTGCCTAGCCCGGAACACCTTTTCCTAAAGCAGCATTTCGATTAGGGTCGTATTCTATGGTTACGATTCTACCAGATATGTCTTTTTCATTCCGTCGAAAATCGATTCTACGGTATAGACGCTTATGACCCCCCCCACTATGCCCTGCGGTAATGATTCCTCTGGCATTACGACCTTTACCACAACGATGCTGTTCATAGATCAAATTCTTTCGTGGATTGGATTTCGGCCATTCACATACTCGCTTGAGTTACTACAGTTACTGTAGTAACTCAAGCGAGTTAGATTAAACCCCATGAGTTTATGACAGACTTGTCAAGTCAGTCAAACTCGCCCAAGTGCAACAATTTTTTCAGTTTAAAAGAAGACCCACAAAATTACCCCTCTTTCTTCCCATTTCTCTTCAGTTGTTGATTCACTTAAGAGCCCCAGGGACTGCTATCATCCTTGTACACGTCAATGATATGGTCATTACAAATGATGATTCTGGTGGCATTGATCAATTGAAGCAATACTTATCTCTGCATCTTCACCTTAAGGATCTTAGACCGCTTAATGTCCTCAACCTTATTAAGGATCCAATTCCAAATTAAATCTGATATTTGGTGCTCTTATGGAAAACACCGTATATGTATCAGCCTTGGTGTTGGGATTTGTAGCCATTAAAGGCCTCAGCATGTGACTTTTGTTCCACGGCTTGTATATTCCCCGCGCATCTCATGAACACATGCATTTATTATATCAATAAAAATAAGACTCCCAGTTTGCGTTGGAGTGTTGGGCTCCATGGATAAAACAGGCCATGAGAGCAGGCTCTATGGAATCTAGTGCAGGCACTCCGATTTAGGGTAGTTTTGGGCATGAGTGCTGGTTTTGAGTGGACTCTATGGCTGGGACTTGGAGGTCTCTGTCACTGTCACCTTGGCATGTGGCTGAGCCGTAGTTAGGGAGGTGGAGCCAGGGTCGGATAGAAACTAGCAATAGAATCCCTGGATATGTCGAGGTGGGCCAAAAAGTTGCCCTATTAGGGGTTCAGATCAGCTCAGTGGTGGATTGTTGGTCAAAGAGGAAACCAAGACACTCCTGCATGATAGGAAGGTGGCCTGTAAGGGCAAGTGGTAGAATCCAGGACATAATATCCTACACAGTATGCTTATTGTTAGCTCTAGTTTCTTTACTCCAGTACTCCAGTGATGGATCAGCAGTAGGCATGTGCTAAGAGCATACCCTTGCACTGGAAGAGTTCATGTCCAGACATATCATCCAGGTTGGACTAGACTTGTCCTTGGGAGTACATCTGTAATCTATGGCTATACTAGGCCCCAGCTAACTTTAATAGGTCAATCATAAGCCCTTGCATGACAAGTGTGCCGTGGTTTTGTTAGGTTGTCGTTTGAAGTTTGGGGCATAATTGTGGGGAAGACATGGAGTGCCTAATTAGGATTTTATCTCATTGATAGAACACTCTCTTAAATGTTCATTCCAAAATCTTTTTAAGGATTTTTTAGTGAAAAAAATACATGTTATTTTCTCAAGTTGGTCACCTTATTTTGGTGTTGCAAATTTGTTTCTAAAAGAAAGAGTACTATGGAAAGAATTTTTTTTAGGGATTTGGAAGATCACATGGCACTCCAAGTAGAGCCCTGTTGAGGTCAACTGGTGGGCCATGTGAGAGGGAAAGGGGAGTGTTAATTTTTTTATTGATAAGGGAAGTGTACAAAAAACGGAACACCCACAGCCCGGGTGTTCATATATCAAAAACCCCTTACAGGGTCCAAAAAATGCTATACATGCATATGGTGTGTACAATAAAACAAAAGAGCTGATTAGGACTCAAAAGGATGCTCAAAAGTCCCCTGCATGTGCTGCTGTGAGGCGACTTCCTTAGCTAGGGCGTCTTCTGCAGCATTGGCCTTCCTCCAGGTATGCTGTCAAACCACGTACGTACACTGCAAAGGTGAAGAATCTCGTCAAAGATGCACTCCAATCTCCATGGACGTAGGAAGGATCTAGATGCCCAAGCTATGACTCTCTTGGAATCCCCTTCAACCACCAGCGTAGTCCCCCAAGAGGGATCAAAATGGCGGGGTTCCACCAGAAGGGCCAAGGCTTCGGCCCTTCACTTGGAAACTTTTAGGCTGAGTTTTTTAACATTATTTTCCGAGTAAAAAAGAGAGAGAAAGTGTGTGAAACTAGAGTTTTACGGAGAGAGAAAAGGCACAAGGGTGTTGTGCATAATGACAAATCCAGAAAGAATTCTCTTCTACTTTGTGTTTAAGAGAGACCCTAGAGGAAGGTAGGTTTGAAACCAGAGATACCAGCATGCATATCTTTCCAAAACAGAGAAAAGGTCAAGGCATTTGTCTTCCTAGTGGTGCACCATGGATTCCAGGGAATCATAAGGGGTGGCCAAAATCCTAGAGAGTGACTCTAGGTGATTTTTAGGTAAATCTTTTATTGTTGTTCATGTAGGTTTTAAGAGTTATATTTGTGAACATGGCAGCAACAAATCTCTTGTTTTCTTTAAGGTCTTATCATATCTTGGATATGATAAGAACGCAAGCTACGATAAGAACCCTTAACATGGAAGCAACGCCTGCAAAATATATGTGTGGTAGAAATACTAATAAAGGTTGCCTTAATATTGTTCAAAATTGACTGCATAAAGCCTCAAGGAATCCTGGTCATTATGCTTCAGAGGCTGTAAGGGAAGCTTATTCACTATGGCAAAGGAAGAACATGAATTATTGCAGGCTACAAGAGAACCACAAGAAAATTGCGGTGTGACTATAAAACTTTTCAGCAACCCCTACCTACAACGCACTTGTTTTTCAGATATTGCTTCTGAAACTTTGTACAATGAAACTCAAGAAAACAGGAAGAAAGAACTAAAAAGTGCAAGACACGATTGTTGCTAGAATTACAAACATGTGGGACAAAAACTGAAATGAAAAACTGACTTAAAAGTCATCATGAATCACCCTCAAGAGTTTTGTACACCCTTAATGATTTCCCCGGATTGCACACTGGTAGAGAACGAAATAGCTTTACTGTTTTTCCATTTGAGGAAGCATTTGCAGGACCTTCTTCTAGAGTTTCTCTCACATACAAAGCGTGGAAGAAAATTCTCTTTGGGTCTTTCTCACGCACTTGCCCCTCCTCTCCCTCATTTTCTCTCTCGCAAATCCCTGGTTCTCACACCTCTCTCTCTTTTCTCTCTACAAACACTTAGCCTAAATGATTTCATGTGATGCCCCAGACATCCATCCTTGGTCAGCCATCATGAATCCAAGGGTAAATAATCACCATTAACCCAATTTAGATATATCTTTCACTCTCTAAAAATCCTAGTAGATCTCCAACTCTAATAGGTTGTCCAGCATATCTTCTAATCTATCTTCAATTCAAAATCTTTCCAAAACTTCTAAAAGCTTTCCAAGATGAAATTCTAACTAACTTTGATTCCATAATCTAGTCACTTTTCAGAAATCATGTCAATATTAGAACTAAGTCTTCCTAGAGAATCATCTATGGGATATGCACCAACCATTGGAAAGTCTAACCAAACATATGATATAAAATATTATGCCGCATGGGCCCCATGACCAGTGGACCCACATGATCCTCCAACCCTCCCACATAGCCCACCAATCAACAAGGCCAACTTGGAGGTCCACATCTCACAAATACCCCATAAATACTCCCCCAATTAAACAAAAATTACTTCCAGAAAAATCCCTTATCAATATACAAAAAAATAATTTCATAAATAACATTTGCTTTTTAAAAACAAATTTAAAATACCAAATAAGGTGAGTAAACTGAGAAAATAAAGGGTATTTATTTTTCTGAAATTCCCTTAAAAAACCTTTAAGAGAGTACACTGGCAACGAGATAAAATCCTAATTACACACTCCATGTCTAATTATAATTACACCCTAAACTTCAACCAACCCAACAGATCCACGACCCACAAATCCCAACAATTGGTAGATTGATCGACCTCGCTATCACGACATGACATCATGTTTGTTGTCAGCGTGGTCAATCAGTTCATAGCATGCTCCTTGGACCACTCAATGGGATGCAGGTGTACTCTCCACTATTCAAGACTACCCGAAGGCAACTTCAGCTCATAAACAATTCTAGTGCCGAGATAGAGGGTTTCTCAGATGCCAATTGAGCTGGGAACCCTATAGATTGAAGACCTACCAGACTGGCACAAGATATTGCAGGTTTTATCAGAGGCAACTTGGTTACTTGAAAGAGCAAAAAGCAAAATTTTGTTGTTCATACCAATGTTTCAAAAAAATATTGAACCATGGCCTCAACATCTTGTAAGATCGTCTAGCTTCAATTACGTCTTCATTATATGGACTTCTCTTTTTCGTTTCCCAATGCCAATGTTTTGTGACAACCAAGCAGCAATTTATATTGCCCCTAATCTTGTGTTTCGTGAGCTGACCAAACACATTGAAATGAATTGTAATGTTACTGGGGAAAAGGTGGTGTCTAAAGCCATTTGTAGCCCTCAAGTTTAAATTAGAGATCAACTAGCCTATTATGTAGAGGACGCCTATACACATTTGTAACCAAGTGGGGCATGCATGATATTCACACAACAACTTCAGGGGAAGCGCAGTAATATATTGTGTATACTATTTATGAATATGTTATAGGACCTTTTGGCCTCACTTTGCACGATTAGGACACTGCTCTTTGCCCTTAGGACCTTTATGTGATTGTTCGTAAGTCCAAAGGCTTCGTCATATTGTAAGTACATTATCTAATGAGAGACTTTGGGAGCCCAAATCCCACTTCTTCACAACTCACGAGACAACTTCTTTTCTCATCAAAGAGAACAACAACCCAAGTCAAAATAGGCACATCCATGACCATGAACTTTGCCAACTAGCCTCACCAAAATCATGCATCAAGAAAATAGAAGCCATTTTGCAAAGAAGAGAAAAAAGTGGGAGCTTCTATGGAACATTGCAACAGCGAGTTTTTAATAAGAATGAAAGGAATCATCACATTTCCGAATGGAAATCATACACTGGAAAGAATGTGGTGTCTAAGATATAAACCGACCATGAAAATAACCTCGCAAAACACTCCAAGTACTACACAAAATGTCATCTAGTCTAGAACCCTCCCACCACTGCCTTCATCACAAACCACATAAATCAACAATATCAAACCCAACTTTAGCTCCAAGGAATGAGAGAGATCAGGTTCATCATCATCATCAGAGCCTTTTTCCAACTATCTGGGGTCAACTACACGAATCCTGGTCTGCCATTCTGCTCTATGAAGGGTCATACCTCAGTGAAGCTATAAGTCCCCACATATTTTCTTACTACTTCCAACCATGTCCTTTTGGACCCATCCTTTTGGACCCACCCCTTGCTCTTTTTGAGCCTTCCACTTGAACTAACTCGTACCTCCTAATAGGTGTTATACTAGATCTTCATCACTATCCACCCAACTTCAGCACCAAAGAATGAGAGAGATCAGGCTAAAAGGATAAAAACTCTTAGTCACTAACCATGCAGCCATCCTGAAGGCCCTTAAGACTTTTAGGATTCCAGAAAACTTCATCATAGTAATCTATGCTGCTCAATTTGAATCATCCATCCTCAGGATAAGACATAGACAATGGTGAATCCAGCCTTAAAAAGTGATAACCATTGGTTTATAAAGGCTATCCCATTTAAGAGCAGTAATCACCAGCCATCAGTATCCTTGAACGCAGCCATCCAATAGAGAGACTTTCAAAGCTCGATGCCCTATCCATCTTTATCCAAGCCTGTCAATGCATTAGGATAATTCATATCCAAAATGACAAGATGCGAGACAGGTATAGGGGTTTGTCTCAAACTCTCAGCATTTCACAAACTCTAGGACAATGATATGGATTGCAATATATGTGTATCTTATCCCCTACACACATGCATGCACGCACACACACACATACACACACACTCACACTCACACATGCGCGCCCGTGCTCATGCATACAAACACATGCATACACAAAAATTACTGCATATCTTTACCTTATTGATATCATATTATTTACCTGTATCTTTTTTCTGGTTACTTACCTGTAGCATATTACATGTCCTAGATATAGACCTATATATCTTAAATGTTCGTAGCGTAGTTCAAATATGAGACAACTTTTTTTATTTGGAAATGACATATTTTTTGATACATTATATCATCACGCATAACTTAATTTCTATTCATTTTTGTTCTTTTAAATTTAAACCATTTAATATTTACAAGTATCCAAGGAGTATCAAGTATCAATGGGTATCTTGGACTAACGCCAATGAAATCTAAATCCAGCAAAACAAGGGAAATGATGACACACAACCATCTCTATTTAATAGCCACTCCTGGATTTATAACATTATTTTGTATTTGTTAAAGTTCCTTTCACTACATTGCAGGAGCTCTAGTGGATCCCAAAGGTGAGAAAGGGGAAAAGAAGCATAATGTTGAACATGTTCTTCCTTTCTTTCTTTTTTTCTTTTTTCCCCTGCCTAGTGGTCAACCTATTGTTTGAAGACAGAAAATTGCATGTCAAGAATGCTTTTCTTTTTTGGTAGGTTAGCAAGGTTTGAATAAAACGGGTAGGTCATAACTTCAAGGATTGAAAACTTGACTTGATGGTCGAGAACTAGACGAAAACATTAGGGCCTATAGGTATCCTTTGATGTGGTAGCTTCTGAATCCCCATTTCGGCCACCATTATCACAGTTTTTGCATGTAACTTGACCAAAATGTATTCTCTTCCAAATTTCTTTCTAGAACTCTGCAAACGTGTGCTAGCATTCTCATAAAAAATCCATATTGAAGGAATTCATATAATATGTTCCATGAGATATATCCATCGTACACTAAGCAAATGATAAAATGCAGTACTTTTCCTAACCAACTCACAAACATCTTTCCAAAAGAATAATTATAACTCATAAGCAAGATAAGCCCTACCAAAAACAATCCAGAACTTTTATGAGGGTTTAGAAATGACCATAATCAGCAATGGTGACAGGGCTTTTATCCAATTTTGATTGGACATCCGATTGCAATAATTCGAACTGTACTGCCTGGAAGCAACAAAATAAAATCTATGTGTTATAGCATGAAATCAGTAAACTACAAAACAAAATAATAGCCTCTTCAAGGTTGAAGTTCAAACAACCTAAACACGCGAAAGCGATGGAGGTAACAAAGAACCACATTCACACTCACATCGTAAGTTGTAGCCAAATAACTAAACATGCAAAAGGTCTCAATGTCAAACTTCAAGTCGAAGGGTCCATATTACGTGTGAGTGTGTGAGCAGGTATATTTGAAAAAAGTAAAAACAAAGAAACTCACCTCTATACATATCAAAGCTAGAATACAAGAATTCGCCCAAAAAAAAAAAAAGCTAGAGTAGAAAGAGAAAGTCGTAAACCCATGTTTAAAGTTACAGCAAGCACGCCTTGCCATCTCTGCTATTCCCGCTTTGAATTGTCAAAGTGTTTTGATCGACATGAGCAAGCTAGACAAGCATCAATGCTTTTCTACTTCATGGTTTCAATTGATAAAGATTTTAAGCATATATGAGCCATTTCCTCTTACAACCCAAAAGGCTTTGTCTCCTACAACAGAACCTTCTCTCAGTGAAAATCATTCCACATTATCTCACGGTTTGGTCCAGCATAGATTATTGGAACAAAGGACAAGTCAATGGAACTTTGTTATTCGATTGTGTACCAGTGGACACTATTATTCATCACTGATTAACAAAAAAGGAAATCATAACCGCAGCTTCACTCGAAGCCATTGTCGAGAATTCGGTATCTCCTTGCTGGTCTTCTTTTTCTTTTTTTTTTTGCATCAAACAAAAGCATTTGGATTAAATGTTAAAAAGAGGTAAGGAAAGAAGTCTAGCAACTAGCATTATCCAACATTTCCTCATAAACAACTGAATCCAACATGTAATGTACAGTGCATAGAGGAGAAATCTTTTAATGAGATCATCTACTCCATCTCTGACATGAAAAATGCTCAAACCATATACAGGCAATTCAAAATGTAAGAAACCTGATTCACACAAAACATTTACAGGCAATTCACAATGTAAGAAATCTCATTCATACACAATGTAGAAAACCATCTCTATTCCACATATAAAACCTAAAGACCAAGAGAGAGATGGGTCTTACCTGGCATAGTTTGGCAGCGAGGGAAGCAGCTTTCTTGGCCACGGAAAGCTCTTTCTCATAAGAGGAGGAAAAAGACATGGTTGTTGCAGATGCAGAGAGAGAAGAGCATGCCCTAGCTGGGCTCTTCTTGGCTTCAGAGGAGAGAGCAACAGAAGAAGAAGAGGAAGGGAAGAAGCTCAAATTGCAGACGTTGAAACTTAGAAGAAGAGGAGAGAGAAAAGAGGGGGTGTAGCGTTTAGAGAAGGCGCGCACCACGGAGTATGATGTTGCCATATTATGTACCGCGCGATGCAGGCTGTCATTGGGGATAAAGAATGGTAAGACTTTTGATTTTCAAGTGGAAGGCGTGCCAAGGGCCCAAGAGGACATACTGAAAGTAGTGAGTTGAGATAATGGGACCCCTAACTCTAAGCGTAGCTAGATAGAGCTCAACAGTAGTTCAAGATTGAAGATAGAGCTGAATAGTGGATCAAGATTGAAGCGGTTAATTTTTGTAGTTGGAAAAAAGTTTTGATGATTATGATATATAACCATATTTTACTCTTATCGAATTTTTTTAAATATTTTGATTTTTTCACCATTTTTCTTTCTCTCGACTAATTGTTTCAACTGAAATATCTTTCAAGGAGAGAATTTTTGATAAATCAGTTTTATGTTTGCAAGGTATGGTCATTTTGGGAATTGACTCAAGGCATGTGGTTGAAGTGGTAGGTGTCACAATATAACGTCTTGATTTTCATTCTTACTAAGCTAAACAAATCAGTGCCCTAGATCGCTCATCTGAATTTTTTATCCAATTTGGCATATTGATAATTCGGTTTATCGAATTAGAAATTTCAAATATAAAAAAAAAGAAAATTAAGTGGGGCCGGTTCTGGCAATTTCTCTGACAGAATCGTCTAGTTCTATGAGATAACTGTCCAAAACTGAACCGAAACATTCAGTGATTCATCATCATCATCATTCGAACCTTTTTCCAACTATTATTTTTCAAACCCCGATTCTTACCATGGGTATGAAGTTACTTTCCCATAAAATGTCTGATTTTCTATAGGGGCGTATTTGATTTATGGAAAATGTAGTTTTCGAAAGCACATATGCAAGTACTGTAGTACTTCCCTATTTGATAACTAGGAAATTTTATAGTAAAGTGGATATTGTGGCATCCACTTGCCTTTTATTTATGATTAAAAAGTGGATACCACTAGTTTCATAGGGAACCATGAAAATTGGGGTATCCAGTTCCCTGGAAGATGGGGCTTCCAAAAACAAATACACCCAAAATGATTTAAACATTTTTTTCTTTTATGGTTGATGCTTTTCTGTTAAAATACTAAGAGGTAGATGGATTTTTTTGGGGCAGTTACAGAGGTAAGTGGATTAGTCACTGGAAATCTCTCATATATAGCGATTCTTGCAAACAAAAAATATCCTAAAGATTTTTTTTTTGATTGGCTATGCTTTCTCACTAAACAAATAGAATAGTATACAAATAAACTATTTACTTTTTGTACAAGGATGTTACATTCAATTTTGGTTGTTAAATATTAAATAGAGAGTGTGTAAGCATGTCATTAACGACACTCAAAGATAAAAAAAACAAAAAAACAAAAAAAAAGTTGCAAACTTCTTGACATACCCCTCACCATCCAATTTGAAATCCATGGCTAGGAGTGATCGTGAGAATGTTGAATCACATATATGAGTAATAGTAGAAAATTTTGTGAAAGATTTTTGTGAAAAGTTTCATTCACACGTAATCCATGTCAAGTAGACCTTAACCTTGTGAGAATTCTTAATTCATGAGTTGTAGGGAGGGATTAATGTCACGAAAAGACAAAGACTAAAGTAAGTGTTGGATTCAAAACTGGTGTTAAAGATTACAAATTGACTTATTAAACTCCTGCCTATGAAACCCTAGTTATTGATATCTTGGCAGCATTCCAAGTAACTCCTCAACCTGGAGTTCCACTTGAAGAAGCAGGAGCAACCGAATCTTCCACTGTTCCATGGGCAACTGTGTGGACCGGCAGACATACCAGCCTTGATCCTTACAAAGGTCGATGCTACCTCATCGAACCTGACGTTGGGGAAAAAAATCAATATATTGCTTATGTAGCTTATACTTTGGATCTTTTTGAGAAAGGTTCCATTGTAGGTAGTGTATTTGGGTTCAAATCCCTACGAGCTCTACATCTAGAGGATGTGCAAATTACTCTTCCTTATTCCAAAACTTTCCAAGGACCTCCTCATGGCATCCAAGTCGAGAGAGATATATTGAACAAGTATGGTCATCCCCTATTAGGATGTACTATTAAACCAATATTGGAGTTATCTGCCAAAAACTACAGTAGAGCGGTGTTGATAGTTATAGAAAGCATATATTGAGTTTCCTATCTTGTATATTGCACGATATTAAGTTTTCTATATTGAGTTTCCTACTTTGTGGGATTACAATTGTTATGGGATTTATTTCTTAAAAGGTAAGAGTTGTAATTCTATAAATCTCAGGTAAACTAGAGTAATCCCTATGAATGAGATACTGGTTTACCCTCTATGGAAGTAGGCACCATGTCGAACCACGTAGATGATGTGTTGATTTATTTATTTTCTCTTCTCTATTTATGTTATTGAAACTTCAACAAGCAGTTTATGAATGTCTTCCTGGTGGACTTGAGTTTCCATGGATGATGAGAACGTGAACTCCGAACCATTTATGCGTTGGAGGGACCCTTTCTTATTTTATGCCGAAGCTATTTATAAAGCATATGCAGAGGCAATGAAATCAAAGGACATTACTTGAATGCTATTGCAGGTATATATGAAGAAATGATCAAAAGAGTTGTATTTGCCAGAGAAATGGGAGTTCCTATCATAATGCATGACTACTTAACAGGATAATTCACTGTAAGTACTAGTTTGACCCATTATTGCTGAGAAAATGACCTACTTCCTCATATTTATCGAACGATGTATGCAGTTATTGATAGACAAAGGAATCATAGTATACACTTTTGAGTACTAGCTAAAGTATTGCATCTGTCTAGTGGGATCATATTTACTCTGCTACTGTAGTAGGTAAACTGAAAGGGGAATGAGATGTCACTTTGGGTTTTGTTGATCTACTGTGTGATGATTTTATTGAAAAAGAACAAACTCGTGGAATTTATTTCACTCAAGTCGTGGTATTTATTTCACTCAAGATTGGGTATCTCTGCCAGGTGTTCTACATGTGGCTTCATGTGGTATTCACGTTTGGCATATGCCTACCCTGACCTAGATCTTTGGGGATGATTCTGTATTATAGTTTGCCGAAAGAATTTTAGGACACCCTTGGGGAAATGCACCTAGTGCAATAGCTAATTGGGTGGCTTTAGATATGTGCATACAAGCTTGTAAATGAGGGACGTGATCTTGCTCGTGAAGGTAATGAAGTTATCCGTGAAGCTAGCCAGTGGAACCCAAAACTAGCTGCTACTTGTGAGATATGGAAGGAGATCAAATTCGAATTTGAAGCAATGGACGTTTTGTAATCTAGTGATTCCTATTCTTTCCCCCCAATAGAAACTAAATGCGACTCAATCTTTTACTAAAACGATTGAGCCGAATAGAGAATGGGCAATATTCAATATGTATATCGCAACATCGAAGGAGAAATCCATTTTCTTCTCTTTCATCTCTAAGACTAATACTAAGTAGCACAATGCTTCTATTGTTTATTAATGGATTCATAAAAAATCTTATAGATCTTTGTGATTGGTAGATCATTTTAGATCTTGTAGTTTCGAATCATAGATGAAACTAAGGATGACAATTCCTTCTACCCATCCTGTTTATTGTCCTTTTTGTTTCGTGTTGGAATCTAGACTTGTTCCAAGAAAATAAATTTCATAGAGGAGGGAACAAATATTTATCTTTTGGATGGGGATTTGCCCACAACATAGGAAAATCTCATTTTTATTGAAAAAATGGTTCCATCATCATATAGAATGAGCGATGCTCTATATTCTAAAAAAAAAGAGAATCATTCTTTTTAATACTGGTTCTCATTTTCACTAATTATTACGTAGTTTTAATGATCCTAATAATTCGATCTATATACTATTATATTCCCAAACAGGAGGCATGAGAGCTCTATGGAAAAATGGTGGTTCAATTCAATGTTGTCTAATGAAGAGTTATGGCGCAAGTGTGAACTAAGTAAATCGACAGTCTTGGTCCTGTTGGAAATAGCGGTGCAAGTGGAGGCCCTATTCCAAATGATACAAAAAAACAACATTTATAGTTGGAGTAATAATGGCAGTTCTAGTTGTAGCCATGTTCATCGTTTATTCGATGTCAGGGACATTAGAGTTTTATCTATGGTGAAATTTTTCGATTAGGGATAGGAATGAGGAAAGTTAATCCATATATTTTGGTATTGAAAATAAGATCTTTAAGATTGACAATGATAGTGACTCTAGAAAGTTCTTTTTCTAGTTATCTCATTTCTAGTTATCTCAATAGTAGCTAAGAGATACAACCGCTACTGTAATCGTTACATGCATGACACTAGTTATAGTTGGAATAATCACATTAACATTAATAGTTACATTGATAGTTATATTCGTTGTGCAATCAGTAGTGATAATTCAATTTCAAGTGGTAGCGACAATTGTAGTGACAATTATTTTTAAAGTTGCATATGTAGTGAGGGGGTAAGTGATAGTGACAATGGGAGTTCTAGTGTCACACCCCAAGAAATTTCAATACAGATATTCTTGAGATGTGACAATCCAAAACATATATACATCTCTAGATAGGACAAATTTACAGTGGCGACATCTTACAAAGTAAAT